CTGAAGGTAGGGGACGGAATCTCAAAAATACTGAATCCTACACTTACATCATGACGGACTTGATTCACAAGGCTTTTGCTTATGCAGTGTCGGTTCAAGAAAAGGTTGTCCAAACACGGATTCTCGTTGCGACCATGGCTGAAGCACTGCCTGTGGAGAAGGCCCTGAAGACGGTGCGCTCGGCGTTCGATGCGAGGAACTACAAAGATGTGCCGCTCGCTCGAGTTGACTACGGCTCGGACTACATCCTGCACGATGGGAAGGTGAAGGCCGAGGTCATCCCCGACGAGCTGCGCGTCGCCAACCGAGAGGCTTGGTCAGACATGTTCCGTGATGCGGCAACTCAATCATTCATCGTCAAGGACGTGAACTCCGGTGTCGACCTTGCCAAGATGAGTGAACGCACCGATGCGCTGGCTCTCGCCAAGAATGCTATGTCATCGTTGACAGGTGCTGCGGGTGTTCTCAAAGAGGCTCCGGCTGAGGCTTTCGATATCCTCTTCTGCCCGGGGAAACCCGCGGTCAACTATCTGTTTTTCGGCGACTCCTTCAATGCATTGGTCAAAGATGGAGCAAAGACAGATGTTGGCACCATCATCAAGGAGAACAAGCGGACGCTGTTTGGGCACAAGCACGAGGTCTGGTCCGAAATGACATGGGGCAAAGGACTGGCGGAATCTCTTGATGCCGCTGAGCGGGCAATGCTAAAGCTCGCCGAAAGGCCTGAGCCCCGGCCGTACGTCATCGTTATCTCCTGGTCTGGAAATGATGTCATTGGGCGAAACGGGTACATTGAGAACCCCGCCGCCCTAGCGGGCTGGGCCACTGACTCCGAGGCAAAGCGCAAGGCTGCGATGGACATCATCGAAAGGAACGCCCGCGCGGTGATGACTGTCCGTGACCGGCTGCGACATATTGCTTTTCGAGAAGACGTGATTCAGGTCGTGCTCATCGTACCCCGGGACTTTGAGACGTACGGATTGAGCGAATCTTACAAGACTCAAATGGACGGTCATGCACGTTTGTTGCACGGTTCAGCGGGAATCACCGTCCTCGACCCCCAGACACTCATATCCAACACGTCCCGGGCAGACCGTATCCACACCGATGACACCGAGCGCAACAGAAAACATTACATCAACTTCTACGTGGCCGCCGCGAAGCTCGGGTACTGCATCGGCCAAATCAACCGCTTCGAAGGGGCTATGAATTGGTACCTCCTCGAAAGGGAATACATGAACATCGACACATCTATTCCCATCGTTGGCGCTACACCCCAGGAAACTGGCGGTCCGGCAATTGCAAAGAACCCTGAGGCCCTTTCGACAACGAGGTCCGCGAGAGGGAGCTGGAGGCGATCAATGAAATCGCTGCGCAAGAGCCGAAGCGCGAGATTTTCCTGGAGACCGAGAAGGAGGCTAACCCCCTCTACCCCCTTGACACCGTCAAGGAGGAAGCAAAGATTTTGCAGATGATGCAGCCCGACATCCACGCGGCGACCGTCAGCGGCCTCAACGATGTGATTGATTGGTCTTCTTCTTCCGATGAGGAGGACTTGATCAGCTTCGACCTGCCCCCTGGCTCTCAGCCTAAGGTCAGCCGGCCGAAAGGCCAGGCCGTTGAGGTTGCCGCAGTGGATCCGAACGATGTTGGCGAGGACGGCCAAATCAAGCTGTTCCTCACTTCCAAACGGAAGAGTCATAACAAAATGACTGCAGCTCTCAGTGCTGCGACACCAAAGGTGAAATCAAAGGCAATGCCAATGCCTGCTGCCTCATCCAGCGGTCAGGCGCCCGTGGCTGGGACTAGCAAGACTCAGCCCGGAGAGATCCGTGGCCCGGAGAACATCCCCAAGGCGAAGGCAGTTCCCAAAGCTGCTTCAAAGCCCGGGGAGACCCGTGGCCAGGCTGCTGAACCCAAGAGGGAGTGGATCAAGTGCTCAGGAATCAAGATTCCCCAGATCCAGAACTATGGCAGAAGGACGTTCTTGAGCAAGAAGGTGTCGTATTTGGTTCGCGGACATGCCCATGAACACGCGACGCGATCCATCCCTGAGATCAATCTCAAGGACAACTCCTTCGACTATGCAGCCGTTGCCAAATGGATCCAGCGCCGATATGACTGGAACTGCTCCCAATACACTCTTCTTCAGGCCACGTCCACATCGAATCGGTTCGAGGTCTACATCGAGCACGCGCCGGCCGGGCAGCAATGGAACGGGCTCAGTTTCATGCCCCTACGCATTCGCGCGTTCACCGGCCACAACGATTGGGTGACTGAGGCCAGTGGCTTTGACAATATTCCTGGAGATCCCATTGCAATGGATGTCAACTACTCCATCGAGCACGCAAAGAAGGGTGTGCGACCGGGCTTCTGCAAAGATTTCTCGGACGCACGCCGAAAGGCGCTGCCCAAGATCGCCTACCACACGTGCAACATGCAGAACTTCTTTGACATCATCTACATGGGCATCTTTCCGGGCGGCATGGGGGACCGGCAAACCTCGCGTGGTCACGCCTACCTAACGGTGGTGCCTCCTTGGGACAGGCATGGCCGGAAGGCGGGGGGTGCGCGTGCTGACCGACCCATCAACATCGCCGTCGACGTGGAGATGTTGATCCAATTGGGGTGTCGGCTGTACGCACCCGGAGACGGGGAAGCCCTGGTGACGGAGGATTGGATCACGAACAAGGTCCTCATCTACGCCTACGACGCTGAATGTGCCAAGTTTATCTGGTCCAACCGGATGTACGTCAGCGTCAGGCGGAACTACCAGGAGAGCATCAAGAAGTACCGAGAAGAGACCCAGAAAGGCGTCGTCGGTACCCCGGTGCTGGAGTCCTTCATGGCCAACCTCGAGAAGGAATGCAAGGCCTACTACAAGCAATGGGCTCCAACGGCGTGCCGTGACTTGACTCGGCCCCATCGCATCGGCAATATCACGAAAGTCAAGGATGTCGTCGACGAAAATCTTCCGAAGGACGAGCAAGTCATGCTTGAGTTCGAGACTGCTCGCTACGGCCTCTACAGAAATTGGGCCCGTGCTGTGACGCAGCAGCCCGGGGAAACCCGAGGCCGGAGCGGTTTGTGGCAGGAACTCGACCCCAACAGGAAGAAGTCGACAAACTGGCGGTTCGCCGAAGTGATGCACATCCCTGATGTCGAGTGCAATCGCTGCAAAATTCTCATCCCGGTTGGCACCATCAACTGTTTCCAGTGCAGCCAGTTGATGGAACGGATGCCCGACATCAAGAAGATAGCCAGGGTCGTCCGGTTGCAGGAGATGGCCAACTCATTGGGCGTGCCGTTGTCCATGGACCAGGTTGAGACTCAGATCTTGACGCAGCGAAAGGATGCGCGGGGGGATCGAAGCGCAAGAGGGGGCCTCGGCATCATGAAGGACATTGCCAAGAAAGCAGTTCTTCGCAACAAGGAGTACACCACGCTCTACGAGAGGCTGATCAATGACCCCTTTTACGCCTACACTGCCGCGCGGGGAGACCTGACGCCGTCCGCCCTCGAGTTCATCGAGAAAGTGGCACGATGCATCATTCCGAATTTCGTGAGAACCAAGGAGATGATCCAAGGAAGCGTGGCTGTGCCGAAATATCACGCACGGCTAACGCTGGTGCCGCCTACGGAGGATGTGCAGGAGGTCGACCCGAAGGACGTCTACGTTGTGCATGGCGGCAGGTTTCTGGAACCAGAACAATTTGCTGCACTTTACGGAAGCCTTGACAAGAGCAACCGCTACAGCGTGATGGGCTGGACCCGGGATTTCTCGTCTGTGGGAGACCCCGAAATGGTATTGGTGGAGTTGCTCTGCTTCGTCGAAGAGGAGATCCCCAACATCGAGATCCCTGGGCGGGCCACCCCGCTCCCTGCAGTTGTCGGTGTGGCGCGCAAGCCCATTCCGCAGCTCCGGGAGACCGGTGGCCAATGGCAGGATCGTCAATGGAGCCAGTCGTACTGGGGAAGTTGGGGCCAGTCCTGGGACTCGTGGTGGTCTGATGATCAGCGCCCGTGGAAGAGCTCCCGCAATTGGGATTGGCGATGAATGAGCGATCTCTTCGACAATATTTTCTATCTTCGGCTGACATCCACTTACATTTCAAATTCAATTTCCATTATACTTCTCAATCATGTTGGCCGAGGATCAATGTACAGTGCATGAGCACGCCTCGCGAGAGCGACGGTCAGTGGAGGCGGAAGACCTTAGCTACCGATCGCTCAAATCCAAGTGCTTGTGTGCTGCAAAATGACATAATGCCTATCGGGTTTCTTTGGTTGTCTCATCCCTTTCATTTGTCCTCCTGTTTCACATTCGGGCACGGGGGGTGTAGTTTGCAACGTGATGTATTTATCAACCATGTAAACCCCAATGCATGCATGTCTCACTTGTGCAGTCTCATCATTACGACTGCACGTGGCTCAAGGAAAAAGCGCGCTGAGTACAGGGTTCAATTGTGACCCTTCCCGGTTGTTTAACCTGTTCTATACCTGGAATCCCAGTCGGGTTGATATATCAACAGGTCCAATCAAGACGGGGATGAACGCAGCAGGGATGTTTGAAAACGGGCCAGAAAGGTGGGGTGTTTCGCCGTGGTTCCCATTTTCACCTGAGCACCTTGGTGCATTGTTTGCCTCTTCGCTGCCATGGGTGTAAGACAGTTGTCCCACTTTCCGAGGGCAGAGCTATCCACATGGTCATTTCAGGGCCGAAGGGAAGATGGGGTTTCCCCCCACCACCTGCAACCCTGGATTTGACAGCCTTCCAGAATGCTTTGATGGACGGTGCATATCATTTGATGCAGCAAGGTGCCACCGAAGTTGTAACTGGGCAACTGTATTTCCCTTTGTCTGCATGGATACTTGGTTATAACTTATATATCTGGGGTAACTTTTGTTTTTGTGTGCTTTTTTTCCATTTACAACCTCCTCACCCAGTGGGTTGACCGGTTGACATCCCAGAAACGAGTACATGAGTACCTGCGCTCGAGGCTACGAGTACCTGGGCAACTCCTTCCGGCTGGTGATCACACCGCTCACGGATATGCTGGGCAGCCCAGGGGGCTGAGCTGAACTGCCAAGATGGTGCACAACGGGCTGGTGGAAGGGACAACCAAATGAGCAGGGGACGAGCATCATGGGGGCTGGGGGGGAGGGGGGGGAGGGGGAGGGGGGGCCCATCAAACCCTTAATAAGGCCTTATTTGGGGCTTGTTTGGGCTCCCTCCCTCTCCCCTCCCTCCAGAGCATTTACTCACCAGGCGAACGGGCCAAGTGGAGGCTTCCAATCACCAGCCATGCATAGTGTCAGGCAACCTTAGCGTGAAAATGGATGGCGCAATTCCCTTTGAGTGAGGGGGGGGTGACAACCTGAATTATGCCACCTACTTTGACTCAACTGGAGTGGGCTTGGGTATTTGAACCCCTTGTTACCTTTTCCAGCATTTCCCTCCTTGGATGTTCGGCCAAGTTAGCAAGTGGTTAGCCACTTGGCGTATAGCCCACAAGGTTAACCGCGCTGAACGGGGGACTTACACATGGGTTGCAACCTAGGTTACCAACAACTTACTCGGCCGAACACCCAAGAGGCCCTTCAAGTGTTCGTCCTAACTGGTGCTCCCTGTTCTTTTTGAGGGTAAACGAGAAACCACCCCCTAACTCCAAATCACCTAACCAAATCACTTGCTTTTGTGGACGCTAACAATGATTTGTTTGTCATATGGCGAGCTCGTTGATGCGGGGTAACGAGAGCTCACCATGATGCACGTTCGTTAAACAGGGAGTTCTCTTATATTGCAAGTCTCGGAAACAATGCCAAAATATGCCAAACTTTGCAAGGAGTGCAGGCCTCCTGAAACGAGATACAAGTCAGCCGTTTCAGACACGAAGCCTTTTCCAGAAGACCAACAAAAAACAGGCAGAGTTCCCTTTGCGCGCCGCGTTCATGTCGAATCCCTCATAAATGACATCCAACCCGGCAAAAAGAGCTGGCCCTTTCTGGTGGTTTCCGTAAACAAATGATGGGCCATGACTGTTTCTTTTTGGGCAACCCCATTTTTGTGCGGGAGACTCTCCTTTCAAAACCACCCAAAATTGGGCAGGGCTCCTTAAAAGAAATACATCTTGCCACCATTTGAAACATGGCTTTTTCAACAATCTAAGGATCCCTGTAATTATGTTACAATCATAGTTATAAGTAGGGTAACTGGGGGCATGGTTATCACCTACTTACTAGGTGTAATGCATCCGGATCCCTGCTGAACCACCTCCCCAGAGGCGAGTTATCGGCGCCAGGTGCTACATGACCCTGATGGGTGCCCAGAGCCTCAACCTCGGCGGCGCCCCCGCGGGCCCCGCAGGAACCCAAGTCGACGTGGCCGTCGACGTGGCCCACGGGGGGGGGCTTCTCCCCGACCGTTTTCTTGGGGGACCCACTGTTTCAGGGTTGTGGGGTCAAGGGGTTTTTCCCCACTTCTGTGACACAAGGGAATCTCCCCCTTTATATGGGGGGTTAGTCTTTGGGAAGCCCTTTCTGTTGTATCACAGAAGTGGTCATTCCCCACAGCGTTTTAGTGGGCTTGAATGGGAAGCCAAAAGGACACCAACCAGTTGCCCACCAACTCAATGGGACACCAAAAGGACACCAGTTTGGGAGAACCCGCATGAACCCCAAGTCTTTGATGTGGAGGGTTCAGCCAGGCTGCAAAAGGGGGTATGGGCTTCTGTGAGGTCTGATAGGTGCTCATTTGAGGGCAGCCGGCCGAACCTTGCGCTTTGACTGTGCTCTAGGGTATGGCCCTTCTTGGCAAACCGTTGGGGGAAAACGAAGGGAAGCAGCCCAAAAAGGAAAATTGTCATCTCCAGCTTCATCAACAAATTCGAGCCCGAGGGGTTGCGCAACACTTCCAGGCGTTGCGAAGCTTCCCGTGTGTTTGGACACCAGGGCATGGATGCATTTGTGGCATCAGGGGACCTGAACCATGCGCCCACTTGGAAATGCATTGGGGCCAGGGTTGCGAAAGTGGTTTACACTTCACATGTGGAACCAATAGGAGGCTGTTCGAGCAATGGGTGTTGAAACACCTTTTGAGCAGGTTGAACCGCACCCTGATTAGGACCCCTACCAATCAGGTTCTCAGAACCCTTCGGTCAATAGCTGGCAAGAATTCGCGCCAAGATCTTTATCAGCCCGTGTCAACCCGCAATCAATGAAAGCCAGTGCTATCAGTTCTTCAAAGTGTTGTTTCCCTGCTTGCATGTTGCTAAAGGGGCCAGGAAGTACGGACAACTACCTATCATTCAGCACTTTCTGTATTTCATCCAATGACTACATGTAGTCTGGTAGCGTTTTTGGACGTTCGGCCGGGTGTCATGAAGCCTGCGTGGCCGTCCTTTTCCCAATGTCAGTTGTTGAGCCCGCTTCAAGCAGGGTAACGATTCTTGGCTGCTCAGTCTAGGGGACCAACCCCAGATCCTGCAAGCCACAGCCTTCCCCTGGAGATAAGCTTTGAAGATGAACCAGTTCCCTGAAAAGGATACATGTGAGCCGGTTGGAGAAGTATCCTGATGAGAAGGGCCAGCAAAAGCAAGCTGATCCGGATCGCCTGTGGATCGCCCACGCGATGCCGACTTGAGAGCCAGATGCCTTTTCAAGAGATCCATTTGTTCACTCCCCACGGAAATGAAGTAGGCAAACTGTGACCATTAGATGAAGTCTAGACGTTCATCTTGCCTTTGGTGTGTCGTTTCAGGGTCTTCGAAACCTCTTTGATTTGTCACAACTCAGCTTGGAGGGGTTCCATCCACGCGAGCATTGGCATAGTCATATTTGACTCCCAGGGTGCAAATGAGGAGGGTAGTCGAAGATCCCTCCAAATTTTCATGAAGCAACTCCTCAACAGGGTGCATCTGTCAACATAGGGGCACCCCAGCAAAAAATGGTTTCCGATTTTCCTTCTGGCGCCCCAGTGAACCCACCCAACGGGTGCCCTTCCCTCCGGAGACGTGCTGAGGCCGGCACCGGCAAGACGGAGACGACCAAGGACCTGGCCAAAGCGTTGGCCAAGCAGCGCCCCGGCGTTTCAAGGGAGCAGCCCCGTTTCCACCCCCAAATTACTGCCCCCCAATGGGCTTGAATAGCTAGGTCCTCCAGCTAGGTGCCCGTTTACCAACTTTTCGGTTGGGAGGGTTCTTTACTAAAGTAGATTACAGAACAAAAAAGGGTACCCTTATTCTAACCCCTCTACTGGAGGACCTAGATAGGATGGGATATGCAGAAACTGGCTTAGGCCCACGCAAAATCGGGACAGAAGGAAGACTGCTGCTCGCGTGCTGGGATGCAGATTGAAGCGGTCTAATTATCGCCTGAGTGGCCAGCCGGGGAAGGGCAAATTTGGGTGATGAACATACAGCTGTGGGCCACAACCAATGGTACCATGTTGGGGTAGGTGCAACACCCATTTTAGTCTATTTTAGTGGGGATTGGGATGTTCACTGGGGGTATGGGCTTTTGACATGGCCATATCCCATCGTGCTAGGCATCCGCGGCCGCACTCGGTGATGTTTCTTCCGAGCGCCTAGCATGGTCGCCGCTTTGCGGCTCACTTTCCTGCGGGCAGAAAAACTGTCAAGTTGAAGAAGGAAAGCGATCCAGCTGAAACCGACACGATGCCGACTATGTGTCACATGGCTCAAGTCGACCCCCAGCCAGCGCAGTAAGCATCCATCATGCCGGTTTAGTTTGCTTTTCTTCTTTTTGTGTGAGCTAATGCAGCGCTGGTCAACCAGCCCATTCAGGCTGACTGGGCTAGCCAAGTATCAAACAAAATTGTTCAACCCACATGCAACCGGAAATATTTTACCCTCCCTCAGACTAACCCTGGAAGCTCCCAACATCTCCCAGACCAGAAACGGAGCTTGCAGTTTCCCAAAGTCCCATGGGATCGAGCCCACGTGGGGAGAGCTGAAATGTCATCCTTCGATTCGAGGAGCACAAACCCTTTACATACTGTGGAAGGACGAAATTCATTTCGCACCACCTAGCAAACCCCGAGAAGAATGCTTCCCCTGTAAAGACCCACAAACAATGGTTTCAACCATGGTTTCATTCCGTGGTGCGAAGGGATTTCGCCACCATCCACAGTGGTGGTGTTTTTTTTTTTTTAATCCCCTGAACCCCGTGCTGGTGGTTTTTAGTGGCCTTTTTATCCCATTACCCCCCTCTAGCTTCGCTTTGGGCGTGCTTCCCGGCTTCCCAAAGCTGGGTGTCAGCTGAGAGCCATGGCGCTGGTCCGCACCCTGGCGGGGCAAGAGCTGCCCGTGAGCGCGGGGATTTCGACGGTGCGGGAGCTGAAGAAGGTGGGAGGATTCACGGCCGGGATTCAGATGGAGACAGGTGGCTCCAAATGGGAGTATGGTTGATGCCCCCCCAAACAAAAAAAGGAAGAAGAAAGAGACACACAACATGTTTCCCCCCCCGGATGTCCCTTTAGAATAAAGAGACACACATTGACGTTTTGTTTGGATGTTTTGTTTTGGAATACGTAGTCCCAAAAGGAGTTACCCTGAAACGACACATGCCAGGTTGATTAAATCGATTGATTGAGCCATTTGACCCAGGATCAAGTGGTTGATTTGGGGGCAGTGTGTCCCTTTTAAAGCGGGCATTCTGAAGATTCTCCTCCCACACAGGGCTTCCCAGAGAAGATGCATTCTGAGTTCAATGCAGCTTCAGGCACCAGTAGCAATTGGACATGGGCTGGGGCGTGCCAGACGGATGTTCACACGCAACTGCTTCTTTCCGCAAGTGAGGGGCACGTCTCCCAAGCCAAAAGACCCGGATGTGCGCGGCATACGGCAATTCGGCATAGGCAGCCCATAGGCAGCCCTAGAAAGAGGTGCTAAGGCTCACTGGGTGAAACAGTCTCTTGTCCAATCGCGAACTGGAAGACAGTTTCCTCCTTGAGCTCTTGCAACTCTCGTTGGGCGAAATGTCCTCGCTGATTAGCGAGGGCTCAAGTATCTTACTCTTGTGGCTGACAAATCGACCCAGCAAGCCGGGTAGATGAAGTGCAGTGAGGGAGAGCAGTTTCCCAATCAGGAAAACATGTTCCTTCATCCCTTGTTTGATTCCAGAACCTAGTTCTGGGTAGGCCATGGTAGCCAGCTTTTGACCATGACTCACCTGCAAGGAACTTCTTGGGCACGCCTTGATCCGATCCGATTTGCTTGTCCCATCGCTTTGGTGGTCAGGTCCTCGAGGTGAGCACCGGCATCCCCTGCCACGAGCAGGCGCCGAGCTGAGCTAAGAGGGGGGGGGTTAAGGCAAAGATGGGTACCCTTTGCTTGACTCTTTGTTGGGGGAGCGGGGAATTAAGTCAAGAATGGGGCATCTCATTTTTAGTCCCCCCCCCCAACAAAAAGAAGTGCGTTTTTTGGAGGGTGCGCTTGTTGGCTTTGTCTTTACCACGGGAACTGCTCGACTTTTCGTTGGGCCCTCCATTTTGACACACCTCCAAATGTGGCCGTTCCCGTTTCGGACCCGTTTTTGGTGCCAAAAATGGATAGGCACGTCGGGTTGCGCAGGTGCTGCTGCATGAGGATCTCGACGCGCCCTTGCCCAACAGCTTCTGCCTGCAGAGCCAGGCGAGTGCGCTCGCATCCGCTCGCATCGGTTCGCAAGCTCGCACTGGCCTCGTGATTTTACTGTGGTCAAAGTCCTAAGTGGTGTGGGTTGAAGGGAGGTTGCGGGGTGTGGTGCCAAATTCGGATGATGGCCTCCGCGGAGAAGGGCCTGAACAATTGGAGTGGCCACCCCTGACTACGTTCCGAATTAGTCCGAAGTTGCCGGCACCTTCCCTTTTTTGGTCCCCCAGTCTTCCCCAGAATTAGCTCCCCTTTTTGTTTTTTAGCTTTTTTTTGGTCCCTTTGTTTTCCACTCACCATGCAAAACAAGATAATTCCTTTTGCTGGGGTCCTAATTCCAGCCTAGCAGTCTTGCCCCGCGGGTGCGCGGCAAAGAGGAGCTGGTGCTGGTGAGGCTGGAGCCCTCCTTCGCAGAGACGCTGCGGTTGCTGCGCTTGAGCCAGTTAAAGTTCCAGGAGCCGGGGGGCTCAAAATGGCTGATGGTTGCGAAATCCATTTCGCACCACCTAGCAAACCCTGGAAGAATGAAAGACCCCTGTTACCAACCACCAAGTGTTTCAACCATAGTTCCAACGTGGTGCAGGATTGCAACGGCTGTGGTTGTCAAACCCGTTTTGGAATCCCATTTTGGATGGTAGGTGAATTCACCACCCATTTTAGAACCTATCTAAGTGGGGATTGGGATGTTCTCTGGGGGCACGATTGGATTTTGACCCATGGCCAAGTAGGGGCTCAAAATACTGTGGAGGGACGAAATCCATTTCGCACCACCTAGCGAACCCTGGAAGAATGATTCCCCTGTAAAGACCAACCACCAAGTGTTTCAACCATAGTTTGAACGTGGTGCGAAATGGATTTCGCAACCATCCACAGTGTGAATCGCGGCCATTTCCTCCCATGGCCTATTTTAGAACCTATTTTAGTGGGGATTGGGATGTTCACTGGGGGTACGATTTGGATTTTGACCCATGGCCACATAGGGTACCCTGGAAGGGTTTCATGCCAGGACTTGCCGGAGGCATTGCAGCAGGCCTGGGACGCCTTGGGGGCAGCTCGAAACTGAGGGAAGAGATGTTGCCTTTGCTCGGACGTAAGGGCCCCAAATTCATAGGTGTCCTGTTTGGTTTGCTTAAAACATACAGGGCGATTCCTGGTTTAGATGGGGTTTCTTCCATTTACCTGGGAAACCATATTTTTTTTAGAAAGGCCACCTATGGCCAAATTGTTTGGAAAAAGGCAGGTGCCCGAAATGGAACCCTGGCAAATGGACAAGTAGATTAATACTTGCAAGGCTCAGTAATGCCTGATAAATATCACCCAAGACTACAACCTTCCGTTGGCTGAAAAGTCGTTTGAATACATCAATTCCAGCTCCCCCTCCTTGGGTGAGCCATGCCTCCGTGCCTGTCGCATCGAATGTCTGAGACAGCAAAGAAGTATTTGCTCAGCGGCAAACCATTACAACTGGTTGTGGGGTACTGCTACACCAACGTGCCACATGACCATGGGAGAAATGTGTTTTTAGTTCACAGGGACATGGTTTAGCACATAATGGGGGTGGACTCCTGCCAACATGGTTGACCCAACAATTGATGCCCAGGCACCAACTCGACATTTATACCCATGGGCTTGCAAGAGGGCGGGTTCGCCGCCCCAAGTGGAGACACAGCCCGGCGAAAGGCTCTTGGACCAACTTCCTGAAGCACTTCCTCAGATGCCCCTTTTTTCCTGCGCTTTTTCCTCGGAAACCCGACAGGAAATTTTCGCAATTTTGGGGGGTCCAGACGCACCCAGCTCGCCCTCCCAAACTTCCCCAGCATTAGCTCCCCTTTTTGTTCTTCTGCTTTTTTTTGGGGTCCCTTTCTTTTCCACTCACCAGGCAAAACAAGATAATTCCTTTTGCTGGGGTCCTAATTCCAGCCTAGCAAAGAAAAAACTCGCCCACACCCAGTTCGCCCTCCGAAAGAAAAGGAAACCAACAGGAAGCTCAGATTTTTGTTCCAGACACACCCAGTTTCGCCCTCCCAAAGAAAAGCTGGAAACCCACCAATCTGTGTTGTCCCCTAAGCAAAGACACGCCCCATTTCGCAGTTTAGCCCTTGTCCCTCCAAAAGAAACGTCCCCTGAAGCATTTCCTCAGATGCCCTTTCTGGGCTTTAAAAGGAAAACAACAGGAAGCTCAGATTCCCTCTCAAAGCCGACCTTTTGACCTTTTGGTTTTCCCATGTTGGTCTATTTTTAGTCATGGCCCCAAAAGTTCAACCTTTTAGTTCCAGGTCCTTTGGGCAACTGAGAAAACGTCGCCAGGATCGGCACTTTTTGGCCTCCGCCGTGTCCAACGACGGGCTTTTGCTGCGGTTTCTGGCGCCCGAGCTGCGGGCGGACCCGAAGTTCGCGGCGCTGGCGGCAGAGGAGAACCCGCAA